ACAAAACTGAGATTGTTATTTAGCTTACAGATCAATATATAATCTTTTAAATATCTGATTGTTATAATGGCAAAGATTCCACTGGCTTTTCTTTGTAACTTTAAGTGAAAATTAAGTAGAAAAAGGTTTTTAAAGTAAACAGGACTTGAATTTTCAAGGTAATCTTATCCTAGCATAAAATAAAAATAAGCCTTTTTCATGATCTCCAATTATATTTAAGCTCATTAAAAGAACTCTTCTAATTATATTTCCTTTGCATTAAGTGATAATTCTTGGGATTATATTTTCTTCTTTTTAAATGAAGAAAAAGAATGAACATCATTTAGGAAGTTGACAGTGAAGCAATAATGTGAGAGTGGAAATAAGAGTAAAAGAAGTATCCTCACTATTATAAATACAAACTACATTTTCTTTCTGTTTACTTGTCTAATACTGTGCTAAATGCTATCCTAGTGCACTGCTAACACCCAAGAACCTGCAATGTCTGCAGAGCATGGGCTCCGGAATGGGTGTGGACTCTCTAATTGGAGTAATGGGACATGTTCTGAAATTAAGTAGTGATGACGGTTGCACAATTCAGTGACTATATTAAAAATGACTGGCTGGCTCCCATGCTCATGGATTGGTAGAATCAACATAGTAAAAATGTCTATACTCCCAAAAGTAATCTACATGTTTAATGCAATTCCCATCAAAATTCCAATGACATTCATTAAAGAGATTGAAAAATCTACTGTAAATTTTATGGAAACACAAGAGGCCACGAATAGCCAAGGCAATACTCAGTCAAAAGAACAATGCAGGAGGTATCACAATACCTGACTTCAAACTATATTACAAAGCAATAATAATAAAAACAGCATGGTACTGGCACAAAAACAGACATGAAGACCAGTGGAACAGAATAGAGGATCCAGATATGAAGCCACACAACTATGAGCAACTTATCTTTGACAAAGGAGCTAAAAATATACGATGGAGAAATAGCAGCCTCTTCAACAAAAACTGCTGGGAAAACTGGTTAGCAGTCTGCAAAAAACTGAAACTAGATCCATGTATATCACCCTATACCAAGATTAACTCAAAATGGATCAAGGATCTTAATATCAGACCCCAAACTCTTAAGTTGATACAAGAAAGAGTAGGAAATACTCTGGAGTTAGTAGGTATAGGTAAGAACTTTCTCAATGAAACCCCAGCAGCACAGCAACTAAGAGATAGCATAGATAAATGGGACCTCATAAAACTAAAAAGCTTCTGTTCATCAAAAGAAATGGTCTCTAAACTGAAGAGAACACCCACAGAGTGGGAGAAAATATTTGCCAACTATACATCAGACAAAGGACTGATAACCAGAATATACAGGGAACTTAAAAAACTAAATTCTCCCAAAACTAATGAACCAATAAAGAAATGGGCAGTGAACTAAACAGAACTTTCTCAAAAGAAGAAATTCAAATGGCCAGAAAACACATGAAAAAATGCTCACCATCTCTAGCAATAAAGGAAATGCAAATTAAAACCACACTAAGATTCCACCTCACCCCTGTTAGAATAGCCATCATCAGCAACACCACCAACAACAGGTGTTGGCGAGGATGCGGGGAAAAAGGAACCTCTTACACTGTTGGTGGGAATGTAGACTAGTACAACCACTCTGGAAAAAAATTTGGAGGCTACTTAAAAAGCTGGACATCGATCTACCATTTGATCCAGCAATACCACTCTTGGGGATATACCAAAAGACTGTTACTCCAGAGGCACCTGCACATCCATGTTTATTGCGGCACTATTCACAATAGCCAAGTTATGGAAACAGCCAAGATGCCCACACTGACGAATGGATTAAGAAAATGTGGTATCTATACACAATGGAATTTTATGCAGCCATGAAGAAGAACGAAATGTTATCATTCGCTGGTAAATGGATGGAATTGGAGAACATCATTCTGAGTGAGGTTAGCCTGGCCAAAAGACCAAAAATCGTATGTTCTCCCTCATATGTGGACATTAGATCAAGGGCAAACACAACAAGGGGATTGGACTATGAGCACATGATAAAAGCGAGAGCACACAAGGGAGGGGTGAGGATAGGTAAGACACCTAAAAAAGCTAGCATTTGTTGCCCTTAATGCAGAGAAACTAAAGCAGATACCTTAAAGCAACTGAGGCCAATAGGAAAAGGGGACCAGGAACTAGAGAAAAGGTTAGATCAAAAAGAATTAACCTAGAAGGTAACACCCAGCACAGGAAATCAATGTGAGTCAATGCCCTGTATAGCTATCCTTATCTCAACCAGCAAAAACCCTTGTTCCTTCCTATTATTGCTTATACTCTCTCTACAACAAAATTAGAGATAAGGGCAAAATAGTTTCTGCTGGGTATTGAGGGGGGGAGGGGAGGGGGGAGTGGGTGGTAAGGGAGGGGGTGGGGGCAGGGGGAGAAATGAACCAAGCCTTGTATGCACATATGAAAAAAAAAAATGACTGGCTGGTACACTTTAGAATCTTTCTGGTGTGTGATTATGCCTTGGTAAAGCTATTATTCTAAAATATGTGCAGCTGAAAGTATCTAAAATGAGTGATCTTTTGACTGTGTTTCCCCAAACATCAAACTTGTTTGGTTCAAATATCTTGAAGAAACTAAGTGTGTATTTAGGCAAATGCACTGGGTTAATAAAATTCATTCTAATATCTTCGTGCACAGAGGGTCTATCATAGGTAAGAATGAGGAAACTCTCAGGCCACTACTTCTGTCCTTTCTCACTCCCCTCATCCCAACACTACCTCATCTTCCACGGCTTTCTATATTCTTCTGCCAATTGTCTTTCTTACATATTCCTATTCTTTTTCATCATCTAAATTATCCATAGTAACTTGTACAGGGTCAGATATTGTTCCTACCAATCACATCAGTTTCTGAAACACACTCTCAGCTAAGAGCAAATCAAAACAACAAGATAAAAGACAATCCTACTTCACTCTATGTCTATAATAGAAGGAACAAGGCTGTAGGCAAGAATACGGGGTTTTAGGTTAGGTGCAGTGGCTCAAGCTTGTAATCCTAGCTACTCTGGAGGAGGAGATTGAGAGGGATTGCTGCAAGAGGCCAGCCCTGGCAAAAAGTTCACCAGTTCTCATCTCAACCAATGGCTGAGTGTGTCAGCACACATCTATCATTCCAGCTACCTGGGGAAGCAACAATAGGAGCATTGAGGTCCAGGCCTGCCTGACCCAAGCATGAAGTGAGACCCTATCTCAAACAATATCCAACACAAAAGGGGCTAGTAGAGTGGCTCAAGTGGCAGAGTACCTGCCTAGCAAGCTCAAGGCCCCAAATTCAACCCCCTAGTCAGTAATATCCAAAAGGGAGTCTTCTAGGTGATCTTTTTACAATTAACTTCCAAAATGAGCAATGGTTTTGCTACACACATTCATCTAGTTTTCTGTTCTAAATAAAGTATTTTCAATTGTCCCCTTGGCTGCTCTATATCTGCCCTCTAAGAGAGAAAGGGTATGTAGAAGTTGCCCTGTGTTGGAAGATGACTGCAACGCCACCATGACAAGAATCTGGTAAGGTATGCCCTTCACCTCTAGTCTGATATACTCATATGCTGTGCTCCAAAATCATCTTCTCAACACATTACTATACCACATCTCTGGCACTAATTCTTTATTTCTCCTTAGGTAATTAATTCTACCTCCACAGTTCCCTTCATTTCTGCCAGTTCACAATCATGTTTTGCCCCCTGTGGATTTGGGTTAGCATCTGTCAAACCTGAACTATAAGGTCCTTCTCTGAATAGTGCATTTCACATTTTGCAAAGCAAACTGCTACATTATTACAGATAACTCTCTACTGCCCAATCTATGTCCTAAGTAATAGTAATGCCACATCACATCATTAAAAGAAGTAGAAATTATTTAACTTACAAGAGTCAAAAAAGCTTTTAAAATGTTTGATTTTTATTTCCTAAAGTTGGCTTTTAATGAAAATCTTCTATAGACTTGAAATACATTAAAAAACATGAACTAGGAAAATTAAAAAGTTTAACAGAACTAGTTCCATTTTAATTTCTTTAAAGTACCACTGATGAATTGGATACATTGATATTAAGCAAGTAAGAAGTATTAGAAACATTTGTAATTGTTTTTTTTTAAAAGTTACAGAGTCAAACAATTCATTAAACTATTTGCAAGGTGGATCTAAAACTCTTGAGATTCTCTGAGAAAATCAAAGCCCTCCATCAACAATAACTTTAGATAATTAATATTTGTGATGATGTTTCTGACATTCTCGAACAGTACTAAAGAGAAGGAATACACATAGTACTTCAGACATCCTCTCAAACTGCCTGAGGTTTGTTTTTAAATTCCAATTTTGAACCTTTTAAAAATGTATTCTAATCCTGACTTTTTAAAAAATTTTGCACACAGCTGTCTGTTGTACTTTTTAGAATCATGCCAGATGCTGGGTTCATCAAGCAAAGCAGGAAAACAATGGCTTGAAAGCAATTAGGAGCACCAAGGCTGCAGTGAGACTCATATTAAAATGTGATAACACTGTTCTAGTGGGAATTTCAACACCGCTCTGTTTCTGACATTTCTCTGCTGCCAGACAGGCACTGTGATGGAGGAGGTAACACACTGGAATTTATTTCTGGAGCAAATGAAGGATTAGCTGAGTTGGAACCAACCCAAGATTTTTATTATGGACTCGGTTACCATTTTATTTGAATACTATAGGATCTTGATAGCATCTAATAAAGCTACGGAACAAGGCATTTTATTGCAGTGGTTCTGCAAAATAATCCAGCCACCATACTTTCAGAAGACAGAAGCATAGAGCATCTTGTTGCTAAAAAGCAGGGCGAGAACCCAGCAGGGTGAAGGTTAATTAAACGCTCCGCTAACTTTCTTCAGAAATGGCTACTGCCACTCTATGGAGAAACTTAGATAGAAGGGACAGTTTTAATATCTATACATTTTTAGTATAAAGCCATACATGGTCAAAGAGTACTCACCTTGTGGCTGAAAATCCCAACAGTATCTGAAATACAAGGGGAAAATGGAAAAAAGTCAAACTTGTGTTTCTCAATTTTGGTTGAAATATAGTAGCTATTGTGCCTAGTCCAAAAAGCTTGCTAAATCATCAATAACTAGCCAAAGCCTGGTTTTTGTTCAAGAAGAAAGTTGTCCAAGGGATTTGAAAGGTCCTTAAAAGCTTGGAAGCTGCATCAATGCACTGTAACTCCTAGATAATTTTGACTTTGGAGCTGGAACAGTCCTTGGAGGGAACATTGCAGAGGCCCACAGTTTCTCATCAGGAACTCTAAAGGCTTTGAGCAGGATGGTTCTTTGCTGAGGCACCTGTCCAGGGTTTCACAGGACTATTACCATCACTGGTACTGGGCAGCAAATACTGGTGGTACTCTCAGTTGTTATGACAACCAAACCCCACCACCATCAATACACCCTCGAATGCCTCTTACTCTTCAAGTGTACAGGTAAGGCATGAACAGTTGACTTGGAGTTGTCTAACATTTCACTACTCAAGTCAAGAAATGGGCCCTTGCAGTCCACTGTACCATTCCTTCTCCTCTTATTTTGTAAAATGATCGGCAAGACCGAAAAGTCTTAAAGCCTTAAACTAATGAAAGAGCAGTGATGGAAAGGTGTATTTGTAAGTCATTTGTTTAGAACCTAATTTGCAGCATATTTTTCCCCACAGAAACAATGTCATATATGGTGGCTACCTACAGACAAAAAAAATCTATTTATTTTGGATCCCATTTCCTCCCACCTTCACAGGAACCTTACAATATTCCATATAGATTTTTCTCTTGTGTACATTTAACCTCTTTCTTTCCACTTGGCCCTTTCGATCACCATTTAAGCTCATATAAAAATAAAGCAAACCTTCTCTCACCCTCTTCATGTCCTTCTATTTGCTAACCCAATTCCCTTTGCATTGCAGTGACATATCCAAAAGCACTGTCTATATACCCTGTCTTTAGTTCCTCACCTCATACTCACTCTTGACATACTCCTATCAGGCTCACAGTCTCAACACCTTAATTCTTGTGATGCACATAAAAATCTTCACTCCACTAAATAGAATGGATATTTTACTATCCTCATCTTGGCCTCTCAGGAATGTGTATCAAAGCTTTTTCATTTTTAGAAGAGAAAGTACAGTTCTTATCAAAATTTTACACAGGATCCATAACCTACAGAAGGTTCAGAAGAAGGCCATACTTAGGTGATAAGTGTCTTTCAGTACAGACATAACTGAAATTAGGTTTTGCTACATTAGGGAGGAGCATCAGCTCAGTGTGTAGGTTATTTCTTTACTGTATAAAATGAAACTCGGAAAAAATGGAAAGGAAAGAGGTCAGTGGGGAGGATGTTGCCATAATCCACAGATGAATTTAGAGGACATCATCAAAGAAGAGAAGGAGACAGTGAAGAAAGCTGACAATTGTCTTTTCTTATTCTGCTCCTTTCCCAGAACAGTTCTGGGGTGACAATCAGGTGAAGGGAAATATAAGATAATGGGTTAGAGGGAAGAAAAGGCCAGGATAGCTTTGACATTCACAGCAGAGAAGGGGAGAGGGAAGGAGTGAAGGAAGAGGTGGGAAATGGAAAGCTTCAACAGCTGGGAAGAAGGAGGCATCTGTCTCAATGTAAAGATGCATGTAAAGTAGAGCTGCACCTAGTATTTGGTGCATTGTACAAAACTTTCTGTAAAACACAGCCAACCTAGCAACTCATCAGACAGGTGAGCAATTTTCCATCTTCTCTTGAGGCATTGCCTTAGCCCCCGCAGTTCCTATCATTACCCAGCTTCTAACTAAACAGAAATAGAAATGGGAATATGAACATGCGCATATATTCTCTCTCTCTCTCTCTCTCTCTCTCTCTCTCTCTCTCTCTCTCTCTCTCCCTCTCTCTCCCTCCCTCTCTGCCTCTCTCTCTCTCTCTCCCACCCTCCCTCCCTCTCTCTCTCTCTCTCTCTCTCTCCTCTTTCCAAAATGTTAATGATTGCAACAGTGGGAGTTTTGCTAACCAATGTTATTCTTATTTACTGGCCCAGAAAAAAAATCTAGCCATGCAGTGGCAGATAAAAAACCAACTTTAGGCAAATTGTTAAATATGTAAAATAGGTTGTTGATGATCTCATCCTCTTTTGTGCCTCCCTGTTCACAATTCCTACTCCAACTAACACCTATTTTCAGTTCCCCCCTCTACCAAGCTCTGGTTTCCTGATTTCTCTTGTTAGTCAAAAAGGAAGATGATGTGAGAAGTTCATATGTACTGTGATTATTGCTTCTGCCCCAACTAGCTGTATCTTAAGAAGACTGACTACAGAGAAATAACTCCATTATAGAGAAAGAACTCAATTTAACTGTATTAAATTAAATTTAACTGTCTAGTTGGGAAAATCTGCTTTATTCTTGATAATACTTCTATCAAACACACCTGGTTATAGCCCAGGTGTGGAAGGTAGAGGTAGGAGGATCACAAGTTTGAGGTCAGACCAGGCAAAGTTAGGAAGAACTTCTATTATAAAAAAAAAAAAAAATGAAAGAAAAATGGGGGTAATGGATTGAAAGTGTGGCTCAAATGGTAGTGTGCTTGCCTAGTATGCATGAGGCCTGGGGTTCAATCCCCAGTACTTCAAAATAAATAAATAAATACAACCTTTCAGTTATAAGATCTGAGGATCCAATATATATGGTGACTCTAGTTAATAATCTTATATACTAGAAAAAAAATTTTTGGCAGGACAGGAGTTTGAACTCAGGACTCTGGGCTTGCAAAGCAGACACTCATAACACTTGACCTCCAGTCCATTTTTGCTCTGATTATTCTGGAGATGGGGTCTTGTGAACTATTTGTCCAGGCTGGCCTTAAACAGTGATCCTCCTGACCTCAGCCTCCCAAGTAGCTAGGATTACAGGTATGAGCCACCAGTGCCTAGCTTATACTTGAAATTTGCTAGGTGAGTAGATCTTAAGCATTTTCACACAAAAAAAGTGACTATGTGAGGTGATGTGTAATTAACTTGATTGTGGTAATCATTTTACAATGCGTATGTATGGCAAATCATCAAATTGTACATTTAAATGTATATAATTGCATTCATTGATTATAAAAAATTTCTGCTAGTTAAAATCATGTGTTGAACTCAATGTGGAGTAGCACAAACTAGAATGTTAGTTCTCTTCTTTTTCAGAAGGTATGAATCTATATTGCTGCCTTACCTTTTCTTCTTCTCTTCTTACTCTAAGTATTAATTAACATAATAACCCTAAAGGAAGTTTGCTTAGTAAAACAGTAACAACAACAGTAAAAACCACACTTCTATCCCAGAGCTTACAGAGGATACTCTAAAAGGAAAGTACAAAAGGAGAGCAATCTCACTAAAGGGCACTGAAGATTAGTCTCTGCTGGACATCTTGAAGGTCTTGATCTTGCTTGTTAAACATATCCTATGACTGGTCTTCATAATCGTCCCTGGAAAGATGATGCCACCCTAGAGAGTTCTATGCTCTTCAGGAAGCATTTAGTTAAATCCTGCCAGCATCTTCCAATTCTTACCCTTTGCTCTGAAAACAATTCTCCTTCAGCCACAGACTCTAACAAGTCTGGAACTAAAAATTTTAAACCAAAATAAAAAGACTGCCAAAGGAGTGTACAGAAGGAAAAGCATATAAATGCACACATACAGAGCTGTGTTTATCCTAAAAGCCTCTGAGAATTCCCTATCAGGCCTGTGCAGATAGATAACAAGCACTTCTTTAATCTTCTCTTTGAAGCCTCAGCTTCAATAGGAAAGGGAAGCTATCACTCCTCTGCAATATCCACACTCAACATCACCAGGTCCATGCAAATGATATTGGGGACTGAGAAGAGATGAATCCAGATGAGCAGAAAGAGAATGTGCACCGTATTGATGATGACTGTCTTCACAACCCGCCCAAATAAACCCATCTTCATTTGTGCCTCCAAAAATGAAAATGGAAGAATCAATCTCACATCTAGTCTACCTTCAGAATAATCTTGAAATTTTTACTTGCAAGAATTAAATTACCTGCATGACAAAGTTTGCTGTTCATGGTTTTTGAATGAAAGATGTTGTTAATTGAGTTTAGAGTGGGGAAACATACAACAAATAAATTGAATTCACAGTATTGAGAGAATCTTGACACGTGGCAGCAACCACAGTAGTACTGGTAATAGTAATAGTAATAACAACACTAAGATTTGTTGAATACATTGCTGGATGCCTCTCTAAGTACTTCCTTTATATTAACACACTTCCTCAACATTCTACCTCTATTACTAAGAGGAAAAAGAGGCATCAAGAGATGAAATAATTTGCCCCTGGTTTCACAGCTAGTAAATGAGGCAGGCAAGTTTCCAACCCTAGCAACTGGCTTCTGCACAGACCGTTTAATAAGAAACTAAGAAGGAAAGTCTTAAATATATAATCTACATCAAAACATTCATCAAAATTGTCTTTCTTTAAAGACAATGTACTATTCTAAAATAATTTAGTCACTCAGATAATACGTATTTATCGACTATCTTCTATGGAATGTCCTTTGCTCAGTGCCAAGGATAAAATGGTGAATAAAATCGATATGGTCTATTCACAGATAGACTTCATTTTTTCTCTCACTGCAAACATACTCTTCTAGATTGCTACCCCCAAATTCACGGAATATATTACTAGGTTTCTGCTGAAAGTAGAATGATTGGCTCTAAACCGTTAGAGTATGTATGTGAATGTGTGTGGGAGGGAGCCATCAAATTCTTGACTAACCATGGTTATTGATATTAAAATACTTAGCATTAATTTGTCAACCATACAATTAGACAGATACTGGTGAAAGAGGTGAGAGAAACAACTGTAACTATCCTAATATTATTGGAACTACCTAGGAAGGAAAAATAGTTCTATTTTCTCATTATAATAAAATAAATAACATACTCAACTCTTAACATATATTAGGCATTGTGCTATGTGTATGTATTATATAT